GGCTGTTGCTTTGATAGAAGAGTTTGGAAAGTGGGTGGTGTTTTGTTCCTGTGCACCACTAACTGGGGGGTTCTTAAATCTCACGACCCCCTCCCCGAGTTTTTTTCTTGTGAGCATCCAACTGAGGCTTGTGGAAAAGAGCTTGTGAATACTGTAGACAACCCTTGTGTCTGAAGCCCCCGGGGAATCTGAACTGTCAGACTAGCTCACACTCTGCTTTTATGAATTCATTAACATTTTGCCTGTCTTCTTTCCTGCTTTTATGGTGCTGCCTCTTGCTCCTGGGCTCTGCCATGGTTGAATTTCACATGTTCCATCTCTGAAGGGGCTTGTCACCTTTGGCATTCAACTGATGGAGTTGCCTTGTGACCTCGGCTCTATGACAATCCCAAGAAGCTGTGGCTGTGCAGGTTATCTGACTTTTTCCTGCTGTTAGGGTGCAAGTGACGTTCCCATGTGACTTTCAGCATCCAGGTAGAAGCAACTCTTCAGCAATGATCTCATAACTAAAAAGGAAGATTGATCAATTTGGCCACATACAAATTAACTTTAATATTAACTTAATTAAGAGTATGAAATTGCAAACCAGAGTGGGAAAAGATATTTGTAACACCTACGACCAATAAGAAGCTCATAAAGGGGATATATAAAGAATACCGGTGAATCAATAATAAGAAGGTGATCTAATAGACACATGAGAAAAAGAGTTAAGCAGGTGCTTCACAAAAGCAGAAATCTAGATGACTAATAAACACATGAAAAGGGGCCCAATCTCACTAATAATTAGGGAACGCAAATTAAAATCATAATTGCACACCACTCCATGCTAAGTGGCTAAAACTGAAAACATGTGAGAATATCAAGTGTTGGAAAGGATGTGTAACAACAGCAACTCTCACCCGCGGCTGGTGGGAGTTACTCACGGATACAAGCACTTTGGACACTAGAAAAGGAAAGCGAAATTCCAGCCCAGCAATTCTGCTGCTAGGAATATACCTCAGAATGGCACGCACACGTGCACCTGGAGGCTAACTCCTCCAATCAACACGTTCTTCTTTTGGCTTTGACAAATCTTTGGCCGGAGTACTGCTTGCCGTGGCTGGCATCTGAGCCCTTAGAGTAACTTTGCATCTCTTTGCTCCCATGTACTTTGGGTAATCTCACGGTTACACACTCAGGAAAGCACATGACTTCCAAGTTGACTTCAGTGGAGTCCCTCACTGTTCTCCCAAGCCTCTACTCCATTTCTCTGCAATGGCGGTGTTCCACACCTCACTACTCACTTAACCAGTAAAGCCACCTTTATCCCCTTCCTGGTTGTCACCCTTACCTTTAGGCCTGGAAGCTGGGTTTGTACAACCCCTTCCACCTCTCAGATTGCTTTCACATACCTTACCTTGTATGACCTCATGACACTGGGAAGTTAGTCCCACCAGGCAGGGCTTTGAGTTTGTTTTGTTCATTGTTATATCCCCAATGCTAGGTAGTCTTGTGAAAAGGTAAAACTGGATAGATGAAGAACCTTAGGTTCAGAGAGGTCCTTGACTCCTAAGTGGAGAGGCCTTCTAGCTCTGAGTCCAGTGTTTCATGCCGCTTTTCAGAGCACAGGCTAACCTTGTCATTTCTAGAAGTTATATGAGAAGTGAGAAGGAACTATAAATGCAGTGTCTACAGTGGGATAGCACACAGAGGAAATGACACTGAACTAGAAGTCCGAGGTCTGGCTTCTGATATTGTCACTGATGCTTTCCAGTCCTGAAACTGGGTCACCAGGCTCTGGTGAGGATGTAATGGACCCATGGATATGGAAGTGTTGTACATCGTAAGTCATGGTTGGGAGTTGAACTGAATTCCCACAAAAGATATATCGAGGTTCTAACTCCCAGTACTCATCAAGTTAACTCATCAAGTTAAGATGAGGTCATACTGAATTAGGGTGGGCCCTTAATCCAGTGACTGGTGTCCTTATAAGAAGGCCTTGTGAAGACATAGACACACACGGAGGGAAGATGGCATGTGAAGGCAGAGGCAGGAACTGGAGTGATGTAATTACAAGCCAAAGAATACCAAGGATTACCGGCCACCCCCAGAAGCTAGGGAGAGGCCAGGAAGGGTCCTTCCCTAGAGCCATCAGAGAAAGCACAGGCCCTGCTGACACTTTGATCTCAGACTTCCAGCCTCCAGAACTGTGAGAGAATAGATTTCTGTTGTTTTAAGCCATTCAGTTTGTGGTAATTTGTTATGGCAGCTCCAGAAAAGTAATACAGGTGTGGCCTATGTGTAAAGAATATGCTTTGTAGTGACAGATGGTCCAACATTGCATGTATCCTTCTCCTAAGTGAAATGGCCCATCAGTGCTGACAGGCTCCCCATGATTTTTCTTCCATGATGCCTAAGTTTCCCACATTTTCAGTTTGTCCTTTCCTTGGAGAAGAGAACACAGAACAGGCTATGGAGTGGAGTGGAAAAAGCAGAGAGAGGGGATCTGGGAACCATCACCTGAAAGCACCAGTGTGCTCAAGGGGGTTATTTCAAACACTAGGCAGTCACTGTTGGGGGTGGGGAGGGAACTAATAGCAGAGCTGGAGGCCCCCAGAGAGAAGGCTGGCCGGCCCCATGGAGCACAATCATCAAAAAGCACAAACGCTCTGGCAGGAAAGAGGGCTGGCACAGATAGACATCAATATATCCTATTCCAACACGTCAGCTCCTTCTTTGGGTCAAAGACTCTTGGCAACATCTGGGAACTCTATTCATTAGGCCTGCACTGTGTCCTGTTCCCCTTCCGATCTGGGTTTTCCTACCCGTCCTGCATGTGCTGTGAGGTGGAATAGAGCCAAGGACTTTGAGCTGCATTTCATAATGCTCTTGTGGGAAAAACAAAACAAAACACAACACTAACAACTCCTTACGTCTGGATGGGATTTAGAATTTACAAAGTGCTTTCGTATGCAATTCCTCTTGATTGGGCCTCCTTGTGGAAGGAGCCAGAGGTGCTATCCATGAAAGACAGGTCTGTCCCCTAATTCTGAGAGTACAGGAAGTCCTAAGCAGAGCCATGCCAACCCCCTCAAGGGGATAGGGGTCAGGTTGGGAATCCGTAATGCACACAGGCCATAACCCAACATCCCAATATGCAGCCCTATCCAACAGCAAAGAGCAGATTGAGCTCATGGCACCAGCTGAATGCCATCTGGGCAAGAGTCCCAAGATGAAAACAGAGGACTTCTGTTGCCTGTAAATGGGAGACGAGTTAAATTGCACCAACCCCTCCACTAAGGACAACCAAAAAGCTATACAAACATCTGAAAAGCATCACAGAGCTAACAAGATACTAAAGAATTACTAGGCTGACATCCCAGAGAGGACACGAATCCAGACAGGTGAGCCCACTTGTGTCATTCAGGTCACTTGTTCTTGGAGGCATCTGCCCACTTGAAAGAGGTGACTAAGAGAATGAGTTGTGTTTCTGAAAGTCTTGTAGGGCTGGGGGTGTGGAGTTGGAGTACAGGACCCACCAAAGGTGGGACATGGGTAAACCACTGCCTGTTTTGGGCTATGACCCAGGGGATTGTGCCCCAAGGTTAAGGGTGAACCAAAAGCAAACCAGGTCTGGGAAATATCCAACATTGCATCTGGAATAATGTGATCCCAGAATTTGAGTGCCTCTGGGCACTTGACAGAAACAAACAAAAGCCCTCTCTAAAAGAAGAAATTAGTCTAGGCCTCAAAATATTTCAATAAACAATTTTTCAAATACAATATCCAGCACAAAATAAAAAATAACAGGGCACATGAGAAGACAAATCGGGGAGAACCAGCAGAAATCAGGCAACAGAAACACACCCACAGGGATTCTAGTTATAGGAATTATAACAGATTATATACAGGCAAAGTTCTAGAAAACTCCCCCAGTAGTTAGTAATTCTCACTATTTGAACTTTTAACTCTCTCTCTAATCCATCCTCATTTATTGCCTGGATTGCTACAATCCCTGTTCTCTCTGTCTTTGCTGCTGTCACCAGAGTTATCATCTTAGAAAATAAATCTGACCTTGCCTCAGCCCTGTGTTTAATGGCATTCAAGGCCCTTCACACTCTGTCCTAAATTGCCCTTTCCAGCCTCATCACCTAGGACCCCTCCGTCTCACAATCTCTAGTCACATAGCATGACCTTCCTGAGTACCCCGTTCTGCTTTGAATGGCCTCTTCTCCTGCTTCATCCTGAAAATGCCTCCTCATCCTTCAAAGTCCAATTTTCACCTCTCTCCTTGAGCCTTCCTGAACTCAGTAAGTCCAACTCTCACAGCTTTGTGTATATACCTCTAGTATAATACTGACACCTGTATTATATTTTTTATAAGTCTGTTTCTCAAGTACACTGTTGACTTGTTGAGGTTAGGGTCTACCTTATTCAACTAGAGTTCCTGGCATCTAGCATAGCACCTGGCTGAGTATGTGCTTAATAAATATTTATGAAAGGAAAGCGTATCCTTAATAGTAGCTGCTACAGACTGTTATGAACTGAACTGTATCCCACCCCAAAACTGTATGCTGAGGCCCTAACCCTTAATGTGACTGTGTTGGCGATAGGGCCTGTAAGATTAAATGAGGTCATCAGGTGGGGCCCTAATCCAATAGGACTGGTGTCCTGATTAGAAGAGGAATAGACAGCAGAGCTTGCTCTCTGTCCACATACGTACAGAGAAAAGGCCATAGTGAGAAAGTGGCTATTTGCTAGACGGAAGGAGAGGCCGCATAAGAAACCAACTCTGTTGGCACCTTGATCTTGGACTTCCAGCCTCCAGAACGGTTAGAAAAAAATTTCTGTTGTTTAAGCCACCTAGTCTGTGGCATTTTGTTATGGGGGCCCAACCTGACTAATATATAGACCACTTCTGAGATTTCAAACTGGTATAAACATCCATCTTCAATAAAGGAAAGAATTCAACTCAAACTGACAAGAACAGGTAGGGAGTAGACACAATGACATTAGGAAAATTACTTTTTAAAAAGTTTTATTTCAAGAACTTTGTTTTTTACTGGTATTTCCAAAAAAGGTGGATCAAAGTACAAAAAAAAAGTCAGTTGAATAACAGCATAGGTTTAGAAATCACAGCAGCAGAAGCAATGTACAGACAGCACAGACCAACAATCCAATGAATGCAATTCTGTTCAAGTTCTTCGCTTATTTTGTGTTTTTTCCCTCCTGTACAAAATACATTGAAGCATGCCATGAGATCAGAAAAGGAAGAGTTTAACAAATGGTTACAAGAAATAGGCGCTGTACAAGAGGAGTAATGGTTCTTTCCCCACCCCCGCCCCACTTCTTCCTCTCTGCTTGCTCTGCTTCAGGTTAAGTTATTCTGAAGACAGTTCACCTCCAAATCAGCCGGGTCACCTTTGCCACCCTCAAGTTTGGGCGACATGGAGTTCTGGATGTTAAATGACTCCTCCTCTTTCAGGCAGGACTTGAGGACTTCCTGGATTTTGTGGGGAGCGCTAGGATCATCCTGCAAGAGGCAAAAAGGTGAGGGAGGGAGGGCAGGAGACAGTGAGGAAGAGGGATCAAATAACAAGCTCAGGCTTTTCTATCTGGCTGAATGAGACAGAACTGAGAAAAAGGAAGAAAGCTGCAAGACTTGAATGAACCAAAGTGACTCATTAGCAGCTACAGAGACACTGACCAGGTATAGATGAAAACTTGACAGGTGACCCGGTCACAAATATCTTTAATGTAGGCCGGTCCAAGGTGTTCTCTTTGACAGAGGTTGGGGAGAAACAGTCCCTTTTAATACTTGGCCTGGTCCCTCTAAAGTCTCACCTGCCGGGACTCGGATTGGCCAGCCCAGGGCCCTCCACCCTGTTGAGTTCTGCTCTCACTGAAAGGTCTGGGTCAGGGAACCTGGCATGTCATGCAGATAGTGGGGCGTGCCCAGGACTGCAGTCAGCAGCCGAACTGCCCCTGGCAGAGCTAGGGCCCCTCCCCTTATGGCAGATGTATGTCCTCTGACTGGAGCCCAGAGACGTGTGAGCCTCTTACCCTGAGAAGCTTATCTACCATAGATGCTAACTTGCAAGGTGTTCCCTCAATCGGAGCCCAGATGGGGTGAATCCGGGTGCCTCCTTAGGCTGCCATTTTGTACAACAGATGCTATTCGTGCTGCTGGTTCACCACCCGTGTCTGACGTGTATCGTGCCCTCCTGCCTACATGTATGTTGCTTGCAGCCCTCTGACCAGGTCCTGAACCTGAGATGCATTTGCCTGTTAAGGTTTTCAGGAAACCTGCACCTACATACTCCTCCAATCCTGCATTTTGAGCAAAACTCTTCACAGAACTCTTCCGGAAATTGCTGCCTTCCCGCAATTTTCCGTTAGGACGACCTGAGGGGATCATACCCAGTGTGATTCAGGGTCCTCCATTCTTTCTCAGGTGCCCCAAGTGGCTATGTCAGTGCCTGGAACTCTGCTGATCATAAAGGCTGTGTAACCACCCAGGCAGATTCCACGAGTGGCAAGAGGGCCAGAGAATGTCCCCATGTGACCAGCTAGCCCAGGCCCTTCTTGCTTTAACATCTTTCAAAGTTCAAGGTGATTGTCATGCTGAAGGACTGGGCGTTCTCCATGAAACTGATGAGCTCTTGTCTTCGCTGCCTGCTAGTGAGTTTGTCCCGTAACAGCATAAGGTCGGGGCACTGACTGGTTGGAAAGGAAGTAGGGAAAGGCTTCAGGCTTACACAGGACACTACAGTGCTCAAAAGTACTGTGCACACGGAATCACTGCCACCTGCCCCTGCTCCCGGCCTCACTTAGCACTCTTCCAGGAAACCAGCTTGACCAGAGAGATTTAATAGTTTCAAAGGCCTCAGGAGTGATTTACACACAAGAGGGCAACACATGTTCCCCATTTCTATTGATACAAGAACAAGAGGAAATGAACTTCATACAGAATCAGGCAGATTTCAGGCAAGGCAGCTGTGCACGGCACCTGAAGGCACCTTATACTTTCTATCACTGCTTGGAGAGATTAAGAAAAACTTTAAAATGACATAAATCTGTATGTGCTGAGATGGAAAGATCTCCATGACATGTTAAGTATATGTACACACACACAACCACACTAACAGAGGTTTTATGAAGAGGGAAGTGGGAGGGGGCAGGACTGCACTTTTTATCTGCTGTTCCCTGTATTGTTTGGGGGAAGATGCGGGGCGTAGAGGCCTGAGAATTGGGCCATTAACAATCCTGGATCACAGCAAGACTTGGGACAGGACAGGACCGCCTACACTCACTCCCCTTTCTCTTCCAAGGATGGAAGTTACTTCGTGTTTTTCAAGGTAACCACCCCTTGCCTCCCTCTCACACTTTGGGGGCACACAGGGCACAGGGATATTCTCATAATGTGAATAAAAGTACATTTTGTGAGTCCTTACAGACCTGGGCATCAGAATTGTGATACCAGGAATGTGGGGCCCAGATTAAAGCTGGGTGGGTGAAGTATGTTCTAAAAATAAGGGGCACAGGTATCCAAAAAATGCTGTGAGACAAGCTAAGTACCGCCAACAAAGAGAACATGTGAGGGAGCGTCTAAACCAACATGGCGCTCTCCTAACTTGTGTTTCCCCGGAAACATGATTCTATTAAGTGTAGTGTTGCGAATCCCTCCGCAGAAGGCCCATCTGCCTTTGGTTTGGCGGAAGTTCAGGCCTCATCACCAGTGAGCGGGACCTTCATCTGGCGTAAGACCTGGGAACACCTGTGCATCCCCACTCCCGGCGCTCCACTCCAGCCACGTGGGCGTCCTTCAGCCCAGTAGTGTGGGCTCAGGCCTGGACCCCTACTCGTCCAGACACAAGCTTCTGTCAGGAGGGGGTGCACAGTGAGTGCTTTACCAAAGACATGGAAAACACAGTCTGGGAAGCTAGAAAGGTTTAAACGGGGTGTGGGGGTGTGTGGGGTGGGGGAGCACTAAGGGACGCCATGGAGAAGTCCTAATAATAAAGTGAAATCCTGGAAGGTCTGTCAGGTCTTAGGAGGACACGTTACAGCCACGACTTCAGGCTGACAGCTCAGCTGTGAGAACCGCAGGGCGGCTCTCAGTGCTTGGGCAGTTTGCCCGAGGACTTCAGGTGACTTCATTCATGCTGTGCGCCTGGACAGTGTCCAGCTTCCTACACGCTGGCCATTCCTCCTGGGACTCCCGCAAATCCCCACAGCAGGCGTTTCCCTTTCCTCCTGCAGGGGGAGGGCAGATGCCAGCAACTGACCCTTCCCCCACCACAGACCCAACCTGAAATCTTTTCAGAGTGTGGCTTTCAGAGATGATTGGAACTGGGTAGGAAAATGGCCCACTCAATCTACCTTACTTATGTCAAAGACATAACCCCTCTCTTAAGATAAACAGAACTCTCCAAAACTTAAGGAGACACCAATACCATAAAGGAAATTTTAGGGGTGAAGGGAAAGGGATGAGGAGAGGCTAGATGAGCAGGCTTGACTTGGATGCCTGCTAGTTTTTTGGGCCCTCAGACAGTGTCAAAGACACTTTTTCCAGTCTTCCCAGAGGTTTTTCCACTCATCCTAAAGAGCAACCACCTTTTGCTTCAATGACCATCAGGAAATTCAACAGCGATGAAAGCAGAGCCTTTCTCATTGACACAGAAAGTAGAAAGACAAAAATCAGACTTTAAAAAGTCTAGACAAAGGTAAAGATCACAAGTCATCCTAAAAAAAGTCTTCTGTACTACCTACAACTCTGCTTGTCAAGGACGTGACATGCCATCGGGCCCTCAGATCCCGTTCCCCGCCCTGACTGGTTGCCCTAAGCGGATCTCCAGAGCTCTGAGGAAAGGTCCCACATTCTGAAACAGACCAAAGGCATGGGCAGGGCTGCAGCATGCATAGGGGGAGACGTGAAGAAGACGAGTTACCTGACAGATAACGTTATCATAGTGAGCCAAGGCACGGGCATGGGGGGAGGAGGTACGGGGAGGGTCGCAAAGTTTCCTTACATTTGGGTGAGAGCCCTCGGCAATGGTGGAGAGTGAGAAGTTATCGTTGTGGAGCTCAGATGGGGTCCGGAATTTGCTGGGTAGGACAGAAGAGAGAAGGGAAAATGTAAATGAAATGAGCATGGCAAACTCTGACAAAGCTTTAGGGGTCAAATACTGTATTTCACCAAATGTTGCGGACCGTGATAAGATGCCATTATTTGCTGTGCCACTAAGAAAAAACGTCTACCATTTAAACCATGATCCCATACTTTCTTATCACCTGGAGTTTTTATTATATACTTGAAGTAGCTCACTTAGACATTAGATAAAGAACTGACAACAATATGAACAGCTATGACCACGATTGTGCACGCCAGGCAGTCACAACTACATCATGAATGCCATCTGGCCGACAGTGATGGCAAGATGCCAGCGATTATAAGACACAATCCAATTCCAGAGATGTTAATATGTGAAAAAAATTGTGTGTCTTTGAATGAATCAACTGCTGCAGGATCTGTAGTGCACTGGGCACAGGCAGCATTATCGGAGCAGCAACCAGGCCTGGGAAAGAAAGAAGCACACAGAGGGAGACAGGGAGGCAGCGTGTGAGCTGAAGGGCTATGGGAGCCATACTCTGTGCAAAGCAACAGCCAGCTAAAGGAGGAGGGACTAGCACGAGGCCCTGTCCCTGCCACAGCTCCTGCTTCTCCATTCCCCTGGCAGTTATAATACTTGCTCCCTTTTCTCCCCCATCCTCATCAGTGGCTGTCCCCCTCCTACGCCCCCTTGGGGGAGGCATGGTCCTGGCTTGTGATCACATGCATAGATACAGCCCTGCCTCAATGCACAGGCACAATGGAGGGGCCCCTCCAGCCCCAAGACGTTAGCTGAAAGGCTGCAGAGCTGCGGGCATCTGTGCACTACATGAGTTTACCCAGCGAAGGAGCAACAGATGGTATTTTGTCCTTTTCCCAGGACCCAGGGAGAGGCCTTCAGTCATATTCTCTGGAGGGTGTCTCAGGTCAGGGGGAGGGGATCAATGGGGCAACAGGTTGAAAGGGAGGTGGGCACAGTTCCGCATAAATTGTCTCTTGGGCCCCAAGAAAGGTGAACTCCAATCTTCTCCTTTTGTGACTCGTGACACTTCCGAAGGTTCTTTACTTTGCTTAGTGATGAGAGTGATTCTCTCACAGTGTGTAAGGTCACATCTGAGTGGGCTTAAAGGGTAAACACATGTTGATTTTCACATGCACACAGCCGTCGCCCCTCTGCTAAGAGAAGAGCTGAAATGAGACTCTATCCCCATGTGGCCCTTACAATCCACAACAGGGGAAGTTAAGCCTAGGACCATTCACCCCCAAATTCTACTCAGGAGAGGGAAAGAGTATTTCCTTAAGTTCTCTGCACTTCTGTCTGGACCCAGGGTTGACAAGCTTTGAAAAGCAAGGCCCTGCAGTGCCACACCTTACTCACTGCCAAGGGGCTGCTGCTGAGCGACACCCAATTCCAGGGAGCTGGACTTACTTCACATTGACTTGGGAGTGAAATCCTCACACTGGCCACTGGCTGTCAATGACCTGACCTGGGAGGCAGATGCAATCAGGTGGGAGTGGGGGGTGGGGTGTGAAGGTGGGGGTGGCAGAGCACAGGAACCTACGTGAGGACCAGAGCTGGGAGTGGTTACACACTGCACCCTCCATCCCCGGGGTGGGGGGTGTGAGGTGTGGGGAATGGTGCTGGAGAGCCGCAGAATGCCACAGGGGCTTGGCCTCTGCGGCAATTCCAGCACACTGTGTAGGGATGGATAGGCTCGGGTCTCCCCTCCCTGGATGGGATGGAGGGGCGCAGCCGCCAGGGTCTGGGGTGAAGCTGGCGGATGCACTCACTTGGTCCTACGCAGCTTGGTGTTCTCCGTCTTGAGCAGATAGAGCTTCTTGGCGAAGAACACCGTCATCATGAAGAGCAGGAGCAGGACGAGGGCGGCCGAGCCCACGGCCACGCACATCACCTGGAAGTCGGTGATGATGGACTCGCAGCGCGTCCCCTTGTGCCAGATGTAGTCCTGCGTGTTGCACCTGCAGGGGGGACAGGGTGAGACTCGGGTGACGGGCAGGCGGGCAGCCCTGGCCACAGCACGGGCCTGGTCCCTGACCCCAGTACTCACCTCCATGCCCATTCCTATGACCGGCTAGAGGAACTGTGATGCCCCCACTCTGTGCAGACCTACAGCTGACATTCTTGCTCATCTTTATAACTACCCTATGCAGTGGGCCAGGCAGCTCTGAGGTCCATGACACTAAGTAACCAGGGCACTGAGAAACTGAGTGAACCAGTCATTCACACGACTGTGACATGACCAGGGAGGGAAGGGGACCCTGGTTTTCCACCTCACAACTTCAATGAGAACAATCACAGGGTTCTTTCATCCATGGCCCCCTACTCCTCCCCCCCAAAAAACGGGCTCTGGATGAAAGAAAGATGAAAAACAAGATGAATAGGAGCTATGGTACAAAGTAGTGGGATCCGCCCTACCACAGAAACCTATCTCGTTGCCTGGCAGTCCCGTCTAGTTCGTGTGGCTAACCAGACACTGAAAAATAGGGAAGTGACAGACAAGGACAAGCACAAAGATGGATGTACACTCTCCTCCTATCTCTGCAGCCCCCAAAGTTCTGCCCATGAAGCTTCCGGTCCTATTACCATGAGAACTGTCATGAAAGCACAGTGAGAACCAACCCTCTGGGTGGGTTTCAGTCCTTTTGTTGAGTGACTTTCTCCTGCCCTTGGGGACATTCCCAGGCTCCAGCTCTTCCAATGACATTGCTGTTTCCATGGGAACCAGGCTGCTTCAAAAAGGAAAGATGTGGAAGGATACAGAGGCAGGCAAAGGAGGGAGGACATGAACCTCAGGGTGAATAACAGACAAGAGAAAGAAGGATTGGCTATTCCACACCCAGAACAGGGCGGGGAGACATGCCTAACAGGGAATTCTTTCTGTTTCAGCTGACCCTCTGCAGTCATGGGGAGGCTATCTGTATGAGGACGGCAGGGAGAGCCGATCCCTCTAACCCACTGTTCCAGAGAAGTTGTCATAGCTCTGATCATGCCTCTGCAGTGGGCCAGGGTGACAGAGACAAAGGCACGCTGCAGTCTGCAACTGAGGGCTCAGCAGTCTCCTGTGAGTGGAATGCAAAAACAGTTTCTGAGCCACAGGCAGCCAGGGTTACATAGCTGGAGGAGGAATCTCGGAGGGAGGCCCAAGTGCCATCCTGGAATGGACGCTGAGCAAGGGGAACTGGGGTGGGCTTGTGGAGAAGCCCTTCTGAGGCACAGTGGATGTATGGTGGCATAGCCCCGCAGTGAGGAGGACAAGCTTACTCTCCCACTCAGGAATCCCATGAGAGCTCCAGGAGGTTCGGGGAACTTTTCCAGCTCTCCAGTAGCAGCAAGGGCTCCAAATTTCATACTCTGATAGGGAGCTTACTTTGAAAGTGAACACTCAGACCTCCAATAGGATGAAAGATGATGATTTTACACAGAGATTCCATAGCTCCCAGGCTAAATTCATCACTACGTTCCTCCCAACTAGAGTTTGAGAAACAAAATCACAGGCTTCCCCCATATTTCTGGGAGCCCTTAACCAACCGGCAAGGTCTCATTGCCGTAATTTCTTGGCCACAGTTGCTCCTTTTGGCAATGGTTGGACAATTGCAATCAGAACGGTGTGGACACATCCTATATGAGTGACCCTAATGTCATGATCATTTATAGGAAATGGCTTCATAGGAAGAAACTGGAACTCAAGCTCTAATGCCAAAGGCACAATGCTGTCTATGTTACTCTTCTATTAGAACATCAAGACCTACAGGATTTGAATTCTTGACATACCTCCAAAATGACCAAGAAAAAGAAACATCGGGAATGACAATTAAGACACCAGATTACAAAAACACTCCTCCTAGGACCAATGGAAACAAGTCCCAGAGGAATCTGAGGGTGCTACTCCACTTCTAGGACCTATAAAGGATGGAGACAGGCATACCACCCCTGACTTGTGATTCTTCCAAAAGAAGCCAGTGGGATCTCCAGCAGGTTAACTACCTCGCCATGAGGACAGGTCTACCTGGTAGTTACTGATGAGGCATGGGATGGTGGCTGCAGACAATGTCCCTTAGGGACACTGAACTTTGTGTCTAAAACATCCTGGACTGGGTATTCCAAGGAAGACAAAAGTGAAGGTAGAAGTGAAGAAGCCAATACCCAAAGTTAAGGGACCCCACCACATCTGCTATGCCAGGAGAGACTCCCCGCTCCACTTGACCTATTTGAGTGGCCACCCTCTGGGTCAGCTCCCAACGAGGAGGTGTTTACTCTGACACCCACACTCATGCCCCACAGGGAGACAGGCCCTCTTCCTGCCACACACATGGCTCAGAGGGAGGGCGCTTAGCAAGCAGTCTTTCCTCCAGAGTAGGTTTATGGGTCTACTCCTTTTGCTAGTGTAGACAGAACTCCCCAACAAAACCCCCTCAAGCCAGCACAGACCTCTTTCCAGAACCCTTAGAGAAGTCCCTTCATTTTGCCTTTTTAGTTTAGTGGATAAAGGACACAACATTTAGATGAATACAAAATCTTATTTCTGAAGAACCTCTCCTAGTGATGAGATCATAGGCAGGACATTTAAGAAGTAATTCAGTAGAAGGTGCCCAAGTGAACATCTCTTGACCTGGGAATCCTGGGAACCCACAACCTCTTGGAAGTTGTGCCTGTCACATTCCCCTTTGCGGAGTCTGCCTCACATACACTCATCAGGAGTTCTTTTACAAATCCCTGTGCACTTGAGTGCCACACGCTTACCTGCAGAAGGCCCCTATGTTCTCCACCAGGTAGCACTGGCCGCCATTGTGACAGTAACTTGGGAAGAGGTCACACACTGACCGGCAGGAGCCATTATGCCGCACAAACCCGTTGCGGCACTCAGTGCCATTCACGCTTGGGGCCAGGTCCCTGCCTGGCTCTCCAGGGCCCGGCCGGAGGGCGATGCTGCTGCCAGGGACTATCCCCAGAGTATGCTGTGGAGGGACAACATGCCACCGACTGGTGGGCTGGCCTGCCCCAGCCCCCAGACCAGGCTTCTCACTGGGCACCAGAAAGTCATTTTCATCTTCTAGGACTCCACCTCCCACTGCATCCTTGTCCTCCTCCTCTTCCTCCTCCTCTTCCTCTAAGTCATCATAGAACGATGTGGTGGGGTAGAAATCAGATTCGTCAAAGGGGGTGAAGTCATCGTATAAGTCAAGCAGGCTCCAGGAAGGGGTCTCCTCTTCGTTATCTGGGTGGTGCTCTGAGGTTCCTGGCGACTCCGGGAAGCTCTCCAGGTCTGCGCCACGGCCCTCACCATCCAGTCCTTCGAAGTACTCGATATCAATTATATCTGATGCTGGTTGGGGCTCCAGTGTGCCCTGAAAGGGGTACGTGGGCTCTGGCCCATGAGGGTCAGGTGTGCTGCTTCCCAGGTTCAGCCAAGCCTCCAAGGGGTTCTCCTTGGGGATTTCCGGGCCTGGGATCAGCTTGTGACCAGGGGTAGGGGAAGGTGGTCCGATGGTCTCTGTAGCCTCAGGGATGGTGGGAGGCATCGAAGACTGACCCAGAGCCTCATCTGAAGCCGGAAGCGTGGCTGGCAGGGCCTGGGTGTCTCCGCTGCCCATCTCTGCAGTCACTCCGCCCAGGCCTGGACTGTCAGCATCCAGCCAGACAGTGCCTGTCACTGCTGCTGACGCCTCCAGCACATCCTCTGGCCCGACTCCAGGGCCCACCATGGCCTGCTCGCCTTCAGGCGCGGTCCACGTCTCATCTTCCCCAGCTGCCGATGGGCTGACCTTTTCCCGCGTGATGTTGGCATGCGGTTGCCACGCCGGGGCGCTCTTCACACGCTCGTTGGTCTCGACGGCGCTGCCCGCCTCACGCGCTGCGGGCGGGAGGGAGAGGGGTGGGGCGTCAGGGCCAAGCGCGTGGGATGGCCTCCGGCCTCGCCCCGCCTCGACCGTGGCGGGCTCTCCTAGACCGCAGCCAACACTAAGCCGCAGTTTCAAGGTTTCCCGAGGCCCCGCCCCATCGTTAAGCCCCGCCCCGACTCCACCCCCAAGCCAGGAAACATACCCGCCACAACGTTTCCATGCTCAGGCCCCGCCCCTCAAGCGTAAGGCCCCGCCCCCGACTGACCCTTAGTCTAACCAGGCGACCTCCAACGCGGACCTCCGAATAAGTCTTACCCTCAGTGCTCCACTCCACCTCCAGGCCCCGCCCTGAACTCGCACCCTTAGGGCTCCGCCCTGGATTCGCATCCTCATCCCCCCCATCACCTCTAAGTACCGCGCCTTAGTCTCACCCTCAGGCCCGCCCACCCTGACCCCTCCCCAGCTGCCACATCTGTCCGCACACCCTGGGCCGCCCCCCACCATTTGGTCTCCCACAAGACCCCCACCTCCTTGCGCGCCCCTTCCCCCGCTGCAGCCGCAGGCAAGGCGCTGCCCCGCCCCCTTGCCACAGCTCTCGCACTCCGCCTGCACCCGAAGCTAGCAGGACCCTTGGCTCAGTGTGGGGCGCGGGGGCCGCTGGGGTCCCGGTCGCAGTCGGTACCTACCCGGCGCAGCACCGGAGACGAGGACCAGCGTGGCCCCCAGAAGCAACAGCAGCGGCGGCGGCCCCCGGCCCCCGCCCCCAGCTCGACCCATGGCGCGGCGCCCTGACCGCTGTCCACGGTCTGCCCGGCTGGCTGCGCCTTCGGCTCACCGGCCGCCGCGCCTCCCGCCCGTGCTGAGGCCGTCTCAGCCCACGATGGGCAGAGCGAGAAGCCGCATGCCGCCGCCGCCGACCGCCGCTGTCCCCGGCGCGCCGCGCCTCCCCGCCTCCCGCGCCGCGGCTGCCGCGCTCAGCGCCGCCCCCACCCCGCCCGCCGCGCCCGCCCCGCCGCACGTAGCTCTGACGCCGGCCCTGCACAGTCCGCCTGCCGGAGGGACAGACGGACCCCTGGCTCGGGACGCGAAGACAAACGGATGTGGAATGGTGCGGCGGCAAGGCGCACAGTGCCGTGCACTGCGTTAGCCGACAGGTGCACGGGCGGGAGACCTGCTGCGGGGCGGGGTCGCGGTGCCGCCCTCCCTGTGGAGGGCTGGCACGGATCCCCCACCCGCGAGGAAGCCACCCGCCACGCGGCGAGCACGGAGGCGGGGGCCCAGACACCCGCAGGCTCGGGGCGGGGCTCCGAAGGGCCGCAGGGGCGGAAGCCCCAGCCCGCGCTATGGCAATGAGCCGAACCCAGGGCGCATGGAACCCCTAGGATTCCAGCCGTGTCCGGGAAGGGGAAGAGTCTTGGGGCGGTCTCGGGGTCCCGACTAGGGCGGGGTGGGTACTGGCAGCGCCAGGCAAGGGCGCGAAGCCGACGGCCCAGGCTCTAATCGGATCACACCTAATCCGTCGCAGCCAAAGCCCAGAGCTCGCGCAGCCAGGCCCGCCGGAATGCATTCGGGGGGCACGGGGCAAGACCTTCCTGGGACTGTGGCTATCTCCCCTTCCTTCTCTCCTTCTCAGGGCAGCCTGGGGAGCGGTCTTTAATCCCGACCCCTTTTTCCCTCCCAGATACATCGCTCCATGTATCCTGAGTCACCAAAGCTCAAGTTCTTGAGTAGACCCAAGTGGCCTACACCACACAATTAGGGACACGCGCATGCCAGGCCAGGAGTTAGAGTAGTCTGCAGGAGATTCCGTCCAAAGCTCACTGTCCGACCTAAGACCACTCAACTCCGGAGCCCTGCTTGGTGCAGAGTTGCGGCCTACTCACCTAGTTTATACACCAAATCGACCGTCAGCCTCCCGATGAGCCAAATGATGACATTCGGGGTCACAGTCCGAGATGTGGCAACTCTTAAGACACTCCCATCGCTGTCCCTAGGGAACCACTTAGGTGACTAAAATGGACATTCAATCTCCTAATCTCTCTAGTAGCCGTCTCTGGATGGGGTTGCCTTGGTTCAAGCTTGTTTCTCTGGAATTACTGCTGCAGTCTGTTTGCTTTGCCTGGAATCTCCTCCAGATCTGCCTGGCAAACTCAACCCAGAAAGTTCAGTTCCTAGCACCTTCCCCTCCCGGAAGTTTCTCAGCCTGCCCCAAGCAGTTAAGACACTTAGGCCCTGATATCACTGGACCAAGGCACTCCAGTGCAGAGCAGGCACAAAGGGAGGCATCCTAAAGCCTGTAGAATGTATAAATGAATGGCCAACTATCTACTCTCAGCCACAACCGTGGGTCTGGAGGTTCCTGCCAATGGACTGAGACTTTTCATGGCTTCATGCTGCCTGTGGGGGCAGTAAATTCCAGTTTGAAATACAGCCTTCTTTTTTTTTTTTTTTTTGTTTTTGTTTTTGTTTTTTTAGCTGAGCCATCCCGCCACCTGTTGGCAGCTCACGGCT